TAAAGGTGTGCGTCACCACGCCTAGCTGATGGTCTTGCACATTCAGTGTGTGCCTAACTGTATGTGTGTACACCATGTGGGCTGCAGGAACTCATGGAAGTCAGAAGAGAACATTAGAACCCTTGGGACTGGAGTTACAGGCATGTAGAACTAGCATATGGGTGCTGGGAACTAAAACCATGTCCTCTGTAAGAGCAGCATATGCTCTTAACTGCTGAGCCATCTTGCCAGTCACTTCTTTAGTCTGAGAGTAGCTCGTAGCCATCCTTACTGCTTATATAAGGTTGGAGAGGGAAGAACCTCGTGAATCTGATTAGTTTTGGGGACTTCCTGAAGCCTCTGAATTGTTCATTTCTTAGAACACCCTGTTTGTTTCTTTTCTTTCTTTTTTAAACTTTCTTTTATTATACACACACATACAGAGTGATGACTATTCTTGGTTACTAACTTGAATACATCTGGAATCGACTAAAACCCAAGTGCCTGAGTACAACTGTGAGGGATTTTTTTTAAAAAATATTTATTTATTTATTTATTATGTATACAATATTCTGTCTGTGTGTATGCCTGCAGGCCAGAAGAGGGCACCAGACCCCATACAGATGGTTGTGAGCCACCATGTGGTTGCTGGGAATTGAACTCAGGACCTTTGGAAGAGCAGGCAGTGCTCTTAACCTCTGAGCCATCTCTCCAGCCCCAAGTGAGGGAGTTTTTTAAAATTAAATCACATGAAGTAGGAAGATCCACTTTTTTTTTTTTTTGAGAGACAGGATCTTTCTACATAGTTCCAGGAACTTGCTCTGTAGACCAGGCAGACCTCAAAATCACAGAGATCTGTCTGCCTCTACCTCCTAAGTGCTCATATTAAAGTGTACAACTCCACACCTGGTCAGACAGTGGTGGTGCACGCCTTTAATTCAAGCACTCGGGAGGCAGAGGCAGGCAGATCTCTGTGAGTTCGAGGCCAGCCTAGTCTACAAGAGCTAGTGCCAGGACAGGCTCCAAAGCTATACAGAGAAACCCTGTCTTAAAAAACCAATTCCACACCTGACTGGGAAGACCCCTTTTTTTTTTTTTTTTTTTTTTTTTTTTTGGTTTTTCAAGACAGGGTTTCTCTGTGGTTTTGGAGCCTGTCCTGGAACTAGCCCTGAAGACCAGGCTGGTCTCGAACTCCCAGAGATCCACCTGCCTCTGCCTCCCGAGTGCTGGGATTAAAGGTGTGTGCCACCACCGCCCGGCAAGACCCATTTTTTTAAAAACTTTTTATTAATTTTTTTTGTGGATTTCATATCATCATCCCAATTCCACTCATTTGCTTGATCCCTTACTTCTGTTCTCTGCCCTTGCAACCCCCCAAAAACCAAAATCTAAAAGTAAATCCAAAAAAAGAACCAACCAAACAAACAACAAAAATAAAATTCTCGTCAAGGAAGCTGCAGTGTGGCCCGGTGAGTCACACAGTGCACCCTTTCTTTGGTCCACACATCTTTACTTGTGAGTGTCCATTGCAATGAGCCATTGGTCTGGTTCAAGGCCTCTGGCTTCGGCTACACCGTCAATACTGGGCCCTCACTGGGGCTCCTCTCGGACATCCTGTTGTTGCCCTGTGTTGTTTGAAGTAGGCTCGGCCCCTCCACATGCTTCGGAAATTCATAGACGAGATGGGTGTGGGGTGGACTTCCTGGAATCCTGGTTCTGGGCCTGGGTGGTAGTTGGATTAGAAGACCCGCTCTTTTTGTTGCTTTTTATTTTTTAAATTTATTTATTTTTTCAATTTTATGTGCATTGATGTTTTACCATGTGTGTCAGGTCTCGTGGAACTGGAGTTACAGACAGTTGTGAGCTGACATGTGGGTGCTGGGAATTGAACCTGGGTCCTCTGGAAGAGGAGTCAGTGCTCTTACCCACTGATCTATCTTTTTTTAAAAAAGTATTTAGTTATTTATTTGTTATGTATACAACAGACTATCAGTGTGTATGCCTGCAGGCCAGAAGAGGGCACCAGACCTCTTTACAGATGGTTGTGAGCCACCATGTAGTTGCTGGGAATTGAACTCAGGACCTTTGGAAGAGCAGGCAATGCTCTTAACCACTGAGCCATCTCTCCAGCCCCTGAGCTATCTCTTTAGGCCCCAGAAATCCCACTTTTAACCCAGTCTTCTGAGGCGTACACCTTTAGTCCACTTTTTTCCCTTTTTCCAGACAAGGTTTCTCTGTGTATCCCTAGTCTTGGCACTTGCTCTGTAGACTAGACTGGCTTTGAACTCACAGAGATCCACCGAGGTCTTCCCTCCTAAGTACTGGGAATAAAGGTGTGGTGCACCACCACTGCCCAGTTTAATCCTGATTTTTTGAGGTGGAAAAATCCCCTTTAATCTGGGCCACACCTTCGGAAGGCAACCTATGTGAAGGACACGAAGAGGAAGCTCATTCTTTGCCTGTTTGCTCTCCCGTTTGCTGGCAAGTCCATTCCTTCACTGAGTGCATTAGAGCCTCCTGGAAACTGGCGTCCACTAAAGACCGGCTGAAACTGACAACTACTGGATTCTTGCACCTTTTGTTGGTAGACAGCATTGTTGGATTAGTTGGACCACAGCCTATAAGCCATTCTAATAAATCCATATTCATAAAAATCCAATTCATAATAAATCCAATTCATTCTGCTTGTTAGGGTTTCAATTGCTGTGAAGAGACACCATGATCACGGCAACTCTTACAAAGGAAACGTTTAATTGCGATGGCTCGCTTACAGTTCAGAGGTTCAGTCCATCATGGTGGGGAGCATGGCAGCGTGCAGGCAGAGGTGGTGCTGGACTGAGACTGCTACATCTTGCAGGCAACAGGAAATCAACTGCCACAGGTTGAAAACCCTGTCTCAGAGTGGTATCCTGAGTATATGAAACCTCAAAGGCCGCCCCCACAGTGACACACTTCCTCCAACAAAGCCACACCTCCTAAGAGTACCACTCCCTGAGATTATGGGGGACCAGTTACATTCAAACTACCACACTGCTCCTTTAGAGAACCCTAACACAGTCAGGGTCTCACGGTGTAGCTAGCCCTATCCTGATACTCCCCATGTAGATCAGGCTGGCCTTGAATTGAACCTGGAGATCTGCCTGCCTCTGCCTCTCACATGCTGGGATGCTGGGATTAATGGTGTGCACCTGCACACCAGGTTATAAAATCATATTGTTTCACCTCTCTTTTAACATCCTGTGTCTTAAAAAGCTTTCCTCCAAGATGCAAGGCTGTGATCTGCTACACAACAGCGTGCACATGCAGGAATGTGTGCGTGTGCAAACACAGAGCAGAGAACAACATGGGCCGTCAGTGTCCGGGCACACCTTCACTGACTTGGCTGGCTACAGGTATGCACCAGCCTGCCAGCTTCTGTGGGTTCTGGAGTTCTGCTCAGATCCTTGTATTTGCAAGGCAAACAGTGTTCCCACCGAGACTTCTGCCTAGACCCTTTTTTCCAGGGATGGAGATAAACCCAGTCCTCGAGGATGCCAGACAAGCACTCTGCCACTGACGCAAGCTCCAGCCCTGTGGCTTCTCACCACTCTCTAATTGACACCTCCACCCTTTCCACTTCCTGTGAATGAACTGGTGCCCTGGCTGTGTGGGCACTAGGGTTGAATCAGGTTGGCGTTCTAGTCAGCTGTGTCCCCAGAAAGTTTCTAGATCGTTCTCCATCCTCAACTCCACGGGCATGTAGTGGCAAAACTTAAAGGTGTGATAATAAACCCCTGTCAAACAGTCAGTTCAAGGTCATCCTCAGCTCTAGAGGGGGTCTGAAGTCAACTGTGGGCTTCAGACCCTGTCTAAAGAAAAAAAAAAAAAGACCATTTTTTGAGCTGGGACTTGGGGTATAGCTCAGCTCCAGCAATCATCCTGCCTCAGCCTGCAAAGAGCTGTGTCTACAGGGCCACCTTACCCAACTTGGCCATTTTTGTACATTTTGAAGTAGACAATCAATACGTTATGCACAACTGGTATAGCAACATGATTACTATAAAGGAACTAATTAATCACCGTTACTCATGCTCTCCTGTGGAAAGAAAGAGCAGTTTGAATTTCATTTAGTAAAAAAATCTTGAGTCAGTAAACAAAAAATGTGAGCACAAGATGCTGCCCCGAGCTTGCAGGACTTACCCTAATCTCGGTGCCAGCAGAATGACTGTATTTAACATTTGACATTTTGTTCACCGCGGGTCTACTTTTTCCATTGGTATTTTAAAATACTGCATTAGAATATTATCTTGATGATTAATTTCTGAGCTCGAGGAACTCACTCCCTCCAAAGCTGTTTCTGTTTTACCGTCCCCGGCTGGAGCTGACCTATCTTTTGGGGAAACTGAGATCCGGAGCGGCGGGGAGCTCTGGGGACAGGCTGTCGCTGACCTTTGCTTATCGTTCGTCCTCTCATTAAATCCCCGTCTGCCAGAGACCTTTCTGCCGCCTGCGTGGTCGAGATAGCGGCGCGGCCAGGCTGTGACATTTTAGAGGTTCCGACTCGCCCAGCACCAGCCCCTGCCTCGCCACCCTCTAGGACTGGGAGAACGCGTCTGTGACGTCATCGAATTCCGAGTCCGGCCTCCGCCGCTGACGTCACAGAAGGGCAGCGCTGAGTCGCAGCGTTCCTTAGGGGACGTGAGCGTGAGAGGCCAGAAAGTGGCCCAGCAAGGAGGAAGTCTTGCGGTTCCCATCAGTACGTAGGAGCAGAACTACAACTCCCAACGCTCCCTGCACCTGTGCAAGAGAGCGCGACAAACTTTTGGACGAGATTGCTATTTCCTTGGTCCAACCAGAAGGCCGACTTTAGAGCGTCATCCCACCCCTCTGTAATTCTCAGAGCTGCTTCCTCGCGCGAGTGACGGGCTTCGCTGCCTTCTAGGGTTCAGATTCCTCTGACAGACGTCCGAACCGAGGAATCCGAGCTCGGAGAAGTCCAGAGGGTGTTGAAAAGCGTGAACGGTAGCCAATAGCATGCTGCAAGGGTCCGGCGCCGTCCAATCGCTGCTCTGGAGCCCCGCCCCGACGCGTGACGCAGTAGGGTGGGTAGCAACAGTTGCCCCGGTGAGGGAAACGGAGGCGCCATAGCCACGGTAGTCGTGGCGACCAAGCAACCCAGCAACGCCAGTCAACAACAACAACCGAGGCCGCCCCCCGCCCCCACGCCCCCGGCCCGGCCTGGGGACCCCGGCGCGCTCGGTCCCCTCTGCACAGCGCCCACGCACCTCCTCAAAGCCTTCCGCGGACACAAGTGCGGAGAAGCCGAGGTAACCGGGGCAGCGCCTGGCAAGCTGGGCGCGCCGGGGCGGGCAGCGGGGCCCGCGCGGCGCCTGTCGCTTGAGTACAGTCCTGAGGGAAGGGGCGGGCGGTCAAAATGGCGGCGCCGACTGTCGGGACCGTGGGGGAGGGGGCCGGGGTTCGGCCCCGGCGACACCACCCGCCCCCGGCCCCGCAGTCCGGCCCCCGCGAGGGCGGGTGCTCGCAGGCCGCGGGCGAGTGGAGGTCGGGCGGCTGGGGCGGGGGGCAGGGGGGGCGCATTTATGTGTCGGGAGGTGCGGTGAGGCGGGCCTATGGAGGCTGGACCAATGACAGCGTGCGGAGGCGGGGCCTGACCGGAGGTGGGCGGAGTCTAGCGTCCCTCCGCCCTCGGAGTCGGGTGCGGCCGCCGCCGCCAGGACAGTCCATAGAGGAGAGGCCGCTTGGTAGCCTACCTGCCTAAGATTTAGAACTTGGCCGTTCAACGATTCCAGTTTAGGCCTTTGTTTTTCTTCCTATAAAATGGGAAGAAGTGTCGCCATCCCCTTCATTATAGAAATTCCTAATTCCTTCTGGGAATTTTACAAGGGCTCATCCTTGAATCTCTCTCTCTCTGTCTCTCTCTCTCTCACTCTCTCTCTCTCTCTCTCTCTCTCTCTCTCACACACACACACACACACACACACACACACACACACGTCTACTGTTTCTCAGTAAGATTTGATAAATTGTTAGTATTGATTGCAGAATGACCTCCACTTCTAAACCCGGGAGGAGGCGGAGATGGTCAACTTCCAGTCAGACTGTCTTTAGCCTGGGGAATTTAGTTGTCAGAAGTTGAAGCTCCGGCTGGAGAGAAGTGATCTTAGACCACAGATTTAGAGGATCTGAAATTGTCTGCGGTGTCATCTCAGCCGTGCGGTGGCGCAGTTGTGGGGCTCTTGTTTCTGGAGACTGGACTTTTCTCCCTAGCCATTAAGGTCTTGTGGAAATAGCAGAGCCAATGGAGCTGTCGTGGATTCCTTAAGTCACATCTCCTGACCTGCCACATGTTTCTGTCAAGTCAGTATCCAGAGCTCAGAGGTTATAAGGTGGTACCCGTCCCACATGGGCAGGAGTAGATGCCATGTCAGAGCCAAGGGGACACAGTCAGTGCGCGGCCTTTGCAGCTGCTTTTTCGGGGGTGGGTGCAGAAGTAGACCAGCCACGGCAGTTCTTACTGGCTGTGTGCTGTTCCTTGATTTGCATTCCAGCTGGCACTGGTGTACACGGCAGCCGATAAGAAGACTGACTTTTCCATTGGAAATTAAGCAGGGAAGTGTGAGCTCCCTCTTAGGGGGACTTTTCCTACTCTCTTCAAAGTTAAGATTGTGCACATTAACTTTCAGGAAGATGCTGGGGTTTGCTAGGTTGGTTTAAAAAAGAAAAGTAAAAAAAAAAAGTCTTCAGTTTTTCAAGACAGGGTTTCTCTGTGTAACAGCCCTAGCTATCCTGGAACTAGCTCTGTAGACCAGGCTGGCCTGGAACTCACAGAGATCCTCTGCCTCCCAAGTGCTGGGATTAAAGGCGTGCACCACCACGGCCCAGCTTTGATTCTGGTTTCATCAACTGCTTGGACATCCTTCCCAGCTGTTCTCACAGTCGTTGGTCCCGCAAGAGCCTTTTGACTGGGGAAGGCTGGTACTGCCTCAGTTTCTCTTTACCTAAAACAGTTTCTCTCTAGCTATGTGTTCTTGGGTGAATAATATCACATTTTTTAGACCTCCATGTGCCCTCATCTAGGGACACACCTCATTTGAGCTTTATAGATTACTGTATATGGATCCCATGAAATGTATCACACGTCAAATACAGAGTAGTGCTCAAATGATATCACTTCCTGTCTACCCTCGGAATTAGCTGGTGTTTTATTTTTATCGTTTTGTATGAGAGAGAAGGCTGATGCTATGAGTTGGCAACAGGAAGCTGAAGACCAGGGATGCAGCTTTTTTTTCTCTTTTCTCTTGGGGGATTGACCTAAGTCACCCCCAAACTAGGAGAGTGCTCTGCATTGTGCTATACACCCAGCCCTATTTTTTCTTTTTCAAGTTTTTAAATGTTTACTTTTTATTGATTTGTGTGTGCACACATGAGCACTCGCGTGTTAAAGCATGCACGTGCAGGCAGAGGACTGCCAGAGGGAACGAGTTCTATCCTTTTACCAGGTAGATCCGTGGGCTTGAACGCGTCGTCAGGCTTGATAGCAGGCCTTTACATGATAAGTCATCTTTATTTTTTCCCCTCTGAGACAGGGTTTTTCTGTAGTTTTGGAGCCTGCCCTGGAGCTAGCTCTTGTAGACCAGGCTGGACTCGAACTCACAGAGATCCGCCTGCCTCTGCCTCCCAAGTGCTGGGATTAAAGGCGTGCGCCACCACCGCCCGGCCTATGATAAGTCATCTTAATGGTCCATTTTACTTTATTTTGAGACATGGCCTTGCTAAGTTGACCAGGCAGGCCTTGAACTTGTGAGCCCCCTTGGTTAGCTTCCTGAGTAGCTGAGATGACCAGCCTGTGCCACCAGGCCAGACTAAGAGCTCCACGTTCTGTGAAATGTTGCCCATTTTGCTTGCACACGAGTGGCTTTTGTTTCTGAGAGTATTCAGGAAAAAAAAGTGCTGTCTGAGTAGAGACCTTGGCTCAGCTACAGCTCTCGAGGACTGAGCAGTGCTGTGGAGAAGGTAGGAAGAGTATTTTTGAACAAGGACTCGTGTTTTTCCATGAGCCCTGAACTAGAGAGGGTCTCGTGTACAGTCCTGTTGTGAACCAGGAAGGATGGCAGTCCAGCAGGGTCAGCCGGCACCTGCTACTGCAGAGACTGTAACCTCCACCCAGAAGTAAGCAGTCAGTGGAGTGCAGCCAGCCCGCCTTCCACACTCGCTAGCCCTGTCTTTATTCAGCTGCATATGTCCAATGCACCATGACAGCTGAGTTCCTTGGGGGCTTGGAACTCAGTGTAGAACACCTGCCTAGTGAGTATAAGACCCTGCCTTCCAGCCCTAGCACTGCAGAAAAGAAAAAAAAAGGGTTGAACTCCCAACATATGCCCATCAGTGCTCTAGGATTGGGGTAAAAGGGAACCCTTATGAGCTTACTCAGGAGGGAGGAGAAACTGGGGAGTAAACCAGTGGCTATACAGTGGGGAGAACATGGAAGGAGTACTGAGTGGCCGACACACCGTGACCAGGGGAAGTGGTCTGAAGTTAAGTAGCTGGGATTGGGACAGGGTCAGAAGCAAGTATATAAGTTGGGGGGGGGGGCGTGCAAAGGCCGAGGCAGGAGGGAATGGGAGCATTATTAGACCAAGATCCAGGGGACAAGACACACATGGTCTGAGGGGACGGGTCCTGAAGGCCCCACAGTCATGAGAAGGATCGTGAGTGGTATATGTTCTCTGATGAGACATGGGACAGGACAGGCGCTCAGCGGATCCTGAGGACAGTGCTCCAGGGCCCCAGTGAAGGTGGAGAAGTGGCCAGCCCAGGAGATGTGTCAAATGCCAAGGGCGGGGTGCACCAATACTGACCTTTCCTACTGCCTTCCACACTGTTCCCTTACCAGTGCTGCTGCACAGAGGAGCTGAGTAGAGGAGGTGTTCTCTCCCTTTCTTGTGAACCATTTGGTTCTGGAGTCTGACATTTGTGACCTGTTCTACTGGCTGTTGCCTGTGTTTGATAATGGGTCTACTTCCCCTTACAGAGGCTAGGCTGCTTTCTGTGGTCTGGAACCTCCTGCCCTGCTGACTGTGTATGGGTAAGAATGATTTTTTGGGATGACTGGAAAAATTCAAAAGAATACTTTATCATGTGAATATTTTATAAATTTCATGACATGAAAAATTACAAAGTGCAAGTCTGTGTCTCCCGTCGCTTTTCTTGCCCCTCGTCTGCACATCTGCTCACCTGTTGCACCACCACTGTATTGGCAAAGTCAGGTGGATACCAACAGACACTGTCTGCCCACAGAACCAAACAGTCACTCTCATCTCAGGGAATGGGTTCAGATGCTGGTTCAGCAGATCACTGACAGAAAGCAGGTGGGCTTCCTGCAGGTACCTTTTCCTTTTACTACCTTCCATGAAACACGTGCATGGGAAATGTGTGATTCGTTCCCCTGCAGAGAGCCCCTAACTTGACCCTTGCTCATGTGGGAGGGATGGGTGAGTCCTTAGAGAAGGCACCAGGAGCACAGACTTTTGGAGCCCTTTCCTGTCAGAGAGCAACAGCCTCTGCAGCAGCCCGGGCAAGAGAGGTGGTCCTGGACATGGGGGACTAGTTAAAATATATTTGGGGCCACCCCAGACTCTGAGCAGTGAAACTCATGGATCTGCATGTTAGCCACCTCCCCAGGGGCTGCTGTGAAGTGCATGCATAGCTGGGAATGGATGGTAGTGGCAGCTCACGTGATCACGTTGGATTTTTACAGTGATCCCATGAACCCAGGTTACAGATGGACAGATGGGTAAACTAAGACACAGATGGCCCAGCACCAGGTAGTTCCAGGGCTACACTGGCTGTCACACACACACACACACACACACACACACACACACACACACACACAAGGAGTGGTGGAAGCCCTGTTCCTTGGAATCACTTTTGTCTCTGGGGACTGTGCTACAGATGTCCTTAGTGCTTTGCCCAGGCTTCCCTTCCTCTCTCTCTTTCTCTCTTCCGTTTTTTGGGGTGGGGTGGGTGCTGTTGAGAGTAGAACCCAGGGCCTGTTGTGCAGGCATGGCCACAGCTCAACAGTGGGGGCTGCTCTCCTCCACTCCACAGGGAAACAGTGGAGGAGCTCCCGCAAAGCCACCCAATGCCTGAGTTTACCACCTGAGGGTGAAGCCCGGATCCCTGGAGAGGCAGGCACGGGGAGAGGGAAGCATGTTGAGGCTGCGCTGTCAGTGGCCCCTGTTGGGTGCTAGGCTGACTCCCTGGATCTGGCTTAGGTCGGTAGCGGGACCTCTGGTGGAAAGCACAGAGAAGGTGTTGTCTACTGAGTGTTAGAAGGAATTAATGTCCAGGCTGGGGTTCTGGGCTAGTGTTTACTGGTGCTGAGAGCACCCAGCAGTGTTAGCACGAGCCTCAGGACTGAGTCAAGTTGGTGACGGACCGATGCATGGGTTCGTAGTGCTAAGGCTGGGGCAGTAGCTCAGTCTGGCTCCCAGCCTTCCGCTTGGAGACCTCACTCTAGGTCAGCCTGCTGACATGGCGTGTGTGGCACAGTGGTGCCAGAGGTCAGGACCGAAGAGCCTCCCGGTTGGCAGGCTCCCAGCCTGGGTGCTGTGTGATTCAGAGTCACAGCTAGCCTCCAGAGCACAGAGCAGGAAAATACTGGGAATGGGCATCCTCCCAAGGCATTGCCCATCTCATGCTAGGATAAGCCCCGTACCAGCCAGGAAAGCTGCACTGGCCAGCGAGACCAGCCACTCCTGCCTCAGAAGCACCCCCACCCTGAGCTTGCAGTTTCTGCCAGGACCTGTGAATGGCATCCTGCTGTTACACAGGGCTCTGAGGCAAATTTCTCTGTGACTTGCCTTTTTACCCACGACCTGTCAAGGGCTTAGCGTGCCCACGGTTCAGACAGCCCTGCCACTTCCCTGCTGTGTGGCCTGGGGCCAGCACCTTATCTTCTCTGAACTTCAGCTCAGCTGGCAAACTCAGTCTGATTCACTGTGGTGGTTGCAGATCTAAAATGGGTGTGTGATGGATGTCAGCTTGACTGATCTGGAATGTGCGTGTGCAGCAGGAGGCCAGGAGATGCCCAGTTAAAGGTAGTATAGTAGCAAATGCCATTCCAGAGGCTAGGCAGAGGGTCACAAACTCACGGTTAGCGTGGACTACACAGGGAGGGCCTGTTGCAAAGGACAAGTGCTAAAGATTGGATGGCTTCCGGGTAGAATGTTTGCTTATCGTGTGCAAGGTCCTGGGTCCTATCCTCAGACACCAAAAGAAAAGAGATCCTAGCACTAGGAAGGCAGAGCCAGGCAGATCTCTGTGAGTTCAAAGCCAGCCTGGTCTACAATGTGAGTTCAGGACAGCCAGGGTTACATAGTGAGATCCTGTCTCAAAGGGGAGAGGTGTTCACTGGGCTTGATGGTGAGAGGAATAACATAGGTGCTCTAGAGTGTAGCACGAGCAATAAAAACCCAGGGACAGATATTGGGGTTCAATCTGAAGGTCAGAAAAGCAAAACAGCCAGCCACTGGCTTTTACCTCTACCTCAGTCTGAAATGGCGATCCTGCCTCCAGGAATCTCAGAATGAGACTGAATGAGAGCTGTCTCCTCCCATCTTATATTCCTCTCTAGGGCTGGGATTAAAGGCGTGCACCACTACCACCTGGTTTCTGTGGCAAACTAGTGTGGCTACTGGGATTAAAGGTGTGTGTCACTACTGTCTGGTCTGTAAGGCTGACTAGTGGGGCTGTTGTTTTACTCTCTGATCTTCAGGCAAGCTTTATTTATTAAAATACAAATGAAATATCACTACATTTCCCCTTTTTGTCAAATAAAAAAAAGGCTATAACTGATATAAGTGTAAGAAAACTATATACAATAAATACAATGACTATATACAATATATACAGGCAATAAATACATCAACAATGGCTAGGCAACAACAGCGCAATTTCCGTCTACACTAGAGGCCACTGACATTCCCAAGCCTGACCCAGGTGACAGTCGTGCCATTTGTGGAGAGGAACACAGAATCACTTGCAGTCTGGAAAGTTGTCCCAAGCATAACCTGAGGCACTGTGGGCATGCTCAGATGGCAGGGGGTGGAAGACAAGGGCAACAGCCACAGCTCAGGATGAGGGCAGGGAATCCTGACTCTGTCTCCTCCCAGATCCCCTACAGGGATGGTCCATTGTATCTAGCCAGAGATTTAATCAAGTTAACCCAAAGACATCTCCAGGGAGCTGGGAGCTGGCCCTGTTTTCCTCTGCTGGTAGATTAATTCTTTTCTTCTTTTGTTTTTTTTCTCTCTCCCCCACTTTTCTTCTCAAGGAAGAGGAAAACAGCCTTATTTATTATCATTCACTGTTGGCATGGCAACACAGTCCTATGTTACTGAGCTACAGGCAGCCCCACAAGCGTCCCAGCCGCCACAAGCCCCACCCCAGGCCCTGCCCCAGCCACCACCCCCAGCAGCACCCCAGCCTCCTGCTGCAGCAACTCCCCAGCCCCAGTATGTCACCGAGCTGCAGAGCCCCCCGCCGCAGACGCAGACGCAGCCTCCGGGCAGCCAGAAGCAGTATGTGGCCGAGCTTCCAGCTGCCCCTGCGCCCTCACAGCCTGCCACGCCTGCCCCATCCCCTGTGGCTCAGCAGTACATCGTGGTCACCGTCTCGGGTAAGTTCACACCCACATTCATGGAGAACGCTTGGAAAATCTCTGGGAGGAGTTCTGAGGAGCATCCAGGGATCTTCTCTGGGGCTTCCTGTGGGATTTGGGGCATCTTTGGGCAAAGGCAGTCAGGTCAAGCAGAGATACTTCTGTGTCCCACTGAGATGTTCCTGTTTTTAATCTGTCCCCAGAAAAGATGGGATGATGAAATTCAATTTGCACACACCTGCAAAAGCTGGGATGCCCACCAGCCCTGGGCCTCTCTGCCTAGGTTTTCTTGCTGATACAGGGACCATTATGGCTTCTCTGTCTAGGGCCATGTGAGAGGTGCTTAAAAGGCTGGTCTAGAGGGGTCCTTGAGAGGACTGTCTAGATGGCTGTGATGTGTCCCCTCTCTTTCCTGGGGGCCAAGCAAGCTCCTGTGTCCATGACCCTTGTGCCATGGAAAAAGTCTAATGCCACAGCATGAGAATGGGGAAGAAAAGGGAAGGCTAGAATCAAGAGAAAAACCCAACCACTGCAGGTGGCCCATCCTGGCCCAGCGCCCTAGGTCTGCTTTGTACCTCTGGGGTGTCATTACAGGTCCCCATCCTCTGTCCCTTTCCCCCTTCCCTTCTTGGGAAACAGGGGAAGGAGGAAGGTGCTGCACTCACTCACACGTGCCCAGTGTGGTACTTTATCCTTGCCGTGTGCCCTGCACTCACGCACACGTGCCCAGTGTGGTACTTTATCCTTGCCGTGTGCCCTGCACTCACGCACACGTGCCCAGTGTGGTACTTTATCCTTGCCGTGTGCCCTGCACTCACGCACACGTGCCCAGTGTGGTACTTTATCCTTGCCGTGTGCCCTGCACTCACGCACACGTGCCCAGTGTGGTACTTTATCCTTGCCGTGTGCCCTGCACTCACGCACACGTGCCCAGTGTGGTACTTTATCCTTGCCGTGTGCCCTGCACTCACGCACACGTGCCCAGTGTGGTACTTTATCCTTGCCATGTGCCCTGCACTCTTTCTGCAGTGCCTGAGCGTGCAGCTGACCTTAGTGGGATCAGGTACTGGCCCAGGTACCCCAGCCTCTCCTGCAGAGTCCGCAGCTCCTGCCAGACGTGACCCTTTGTACACATCCCTCCTGCAGCTAAGTTAGACAAACAGCATGTTCACCAGGACCCCTCAGGCTGCCGTCTGCCTGCACCTGCAGTCTACTTCTCAGCCTCTTTTATACTCAGATATTCTTAGAATACTAGCTCTTTCCCTCCTGCTTCCTCGTCCACATGCTCTAGCTGGGGTCCCCATCCTCTCACCACATCAGACTCATTAGTCACTCCGGACTCTTGTTATCCTTGGCCTCTCTAGGCAGTGACAGGCACGCCTACTCCTCTCTGACTGCAGACCTGCTCCGCACACCTGCCCAGATTTCACTCACTCCTCTCATCTTCTTGGTCGCCTCACCTCTGAGCCATAGGCAGATCTCAGGCTCAGGCTGGGCCCCTCTCTGCTCCAGCAATCATGCTCTCATGACCTGAGAGGTGTCATGGCTTCTATTCCCTTCCTTCTTCCCAGAGCTTCACAGACTCTAGACCAGTGCTCTACCAGTGAACTACATCCCCAGCCCTCTTTTTACTTTTTATTTTGAGACAGGGTCTCAGTAAGTAGCCCACACTGGTCCTGAAACTACTCTGTAACCCAGGCAGGCCTTCGCCTTGTCATCCTTTTGCCTGAACCTCGTCAGAAGCTGATGGCAGGGTATGCCACCAGGTCCAACAGTGGCACAGCGAGGGAAGCCAGGCCACAGAGTGGCTTTTAGGTTAGACAGACCTAGGCCACTCTCACTAGCTGCGGGGTGGGGAGCTAGCATGCTACAGAGAACACGGCACGGCACAGCACGTGTCAGGCTAGGCTACAGTATCACTGCCAGGCTCTCACCCCTGGCTCAGACAGTGGCTTGTTGCCTGCTTTGCACAGTGATCCTGGGGAATGTCTTCCCACGGTCTCACTTCTGGCAGGAGAGAGCCCATCCCTACAAAGGACCCTGCCGCCTCCTGAGCTCTGAGGAAGAGGAAAGGCTGCTACCTTCTAGCTTCTGTGTCAGGGTCTTCCTAATCCCTTTCCCAGGTTGCCCTTGTGAGACAGTCCTTTGAGGAAAGAGAAGCTGAAACAGGGAAGTACCTAGGCCAGCCCCTGGGCCAAGAGCAATCTGGGCTGACCAGGAACCCTGCAGGTTCACTGCAGGGGGAAGGCTGCCCCTTGCCCCTGGAAGCCAGAAGGCAGAAGTAAGCTGAGACCTCCAGCCTGGGCCTGCCATGCTCTGCCCTCAAGTGACTTTGGTGACAATAGGAAGGAAGCTCAGATTTCCCTGGCCAGCCGGTACACATCCATAATCCCTGTCCTCCCCTGAGAGGCCTCCAGAATTTAAGGTGGAAGGAGGTGATGCAGTCTGGGAGGGTGAGGCCAGACTCCTGCTTAGCCTGCAGGAGGCGCTGCAGCCACCCAGGCTTCTCTGCCTCCTTCAGCTCCTGTTTTTCCAGAGCTCAAGAGGGCTGTGCCCACAAGAGGGAAATAGGGCTGCTTGTCAGCATCTTCAGTGAAGGTGGGGAAACTGAGGTCCAAGAAGACACAAGACCCTGGAACAGCAGGGGCCCAGAACCTTGCCCTGAACTTTCAGAAGAGAGGCAGATAGGTCTGTCTACCCTTGGGGGAGAGGGGCCTGGCTGGTGAGGCTGCCAGGGTTCAGCCTCCTGAGCCTGCCTTCAGTTTCCTGAAGAGCTAGCTTGCTGTCTAAGCTGAGAGGTGGCCAGGTAGACAGGTGGGAGAGCCAGGTGCCTGGAGGAAGTAGTGACCACATGAACGAGACAGACTGTCTGAGCCAAGCAGGAGGTGAGCTCTGGCTCCTAACCGTAGCTTCCAGGGCCTCCCTGCCTATGCACATGCCCAGAAGAGAGATGGCTAACAGACACAGCTGTCCCTTGACTCCATCTTTTCCCTTACTTTCCTCCCAGCTCCCCTTCCAAAACACACTAGGAAGCCCTTGGCCCATTCACCCTCCTGGTGTTGATGGGTAGGGGAAAGCCTGGGGCCGTAAGGGCCACCCCAAGGCAGGTGATGACAAGGTGGATAACTGGTTGGAGCAGATCCCCAGGTGTGCAGCTGCGGAGGGTCTGGATCAATGTCCTGTGTAGCTTCCCACCCTGAGCAACAGCAAGTCCATGGGTCTCAGGTCAGCAACCATCCTTGGGCCAGGCCTGACTCCCTGTATTCCAGACAGTGCAGATATGTGGGGGTGGGGAGCCTCTGACTCTAGGCCAGCTTAAATCTCACTCAGATAGGCTGAAGGAGAGGTCCTTCTCAGGGACCTAAAGCAGTTTTAAGGGAAGATTCCAGCAAAATCTAATTACTACTGCTTAGAATTGGTGTAGCTACCTGAGTAGACCTGGGGAGAGCCACAGGAAGTCTGTCCTGACAATGTCCCCACATCTGGCCACATCTGGTGCATACTCAGATGCTTTGAGGCAGACTGGGCTAATCTCCTGGCCTCACCAGGCCCATTTCCTGTGTCCCTTATGGAGAATGAGCTCTATAATTGAAACCTCAACCTTGAAGTGTCTCTGAGGGCCCCAGCTTCCTAAGCCAGTCTGTGTGATCCTACCTAATAAGACCAGCAACTTGAGATTGGTGTGTGGGGTTGGGCCATGTGGGCATTCAGGGAGACCTGGGAACCAGGCCAGGCCCCCCAGCTGGGTGATACAAAGTCTCTGCCACATGCAAATGAGTGAGAAAGGCAAGTACTGGCTCCAAGGGCCCAGAATCTATTAGAGCAGCACCTGGTACACCAGAAACAGTATCAGTATCCACAGCCCTCTGGTTGATAACCCTTGTTGCCATGTAACCCTTCAGCCCTGTGGGGGGCTAGGTAACCTCTCTGGACTCCTACCCCTTGCCCACTGCCAGATCCCAGGAAGATAGACCTGAGGCCTTGGTTCCTTTAGGCTCTACTGGAGACTGAGAACAGTCACATGGCCACCCCAACCTGACTTTGGCCCCTAAACTGCTGTGGAACAAGCTAGGCCACATAGGGGATAGGTCAGATGACAGCCCAGCTTGGGTGAGACTCTTAGCTAGTGTGTCCCTCTCCACTTCCCTGCTGCCCCATGAATCACTTAGCAATATGTGTACGAAACATGACCTGCCTCTGACTGATAGCATCCCTGGGTACCAGCCTTCCTTCTGCCCTGACGCAGCCCCCTCGCAGCTTGCACGAAGCAGATTGTTTACCTGAGGGCATGAAGGCTTTCTGAGCTCATGGCAGGGATTAGCTCCCCAAGGCTGCAGGTATAAAGCCACCTGCATGCTCTGCTGCTCCCGCATTGCTGGCCTCCTGGGCCTGCTGGACAGCAGGGTTGGGAGTAGACAGGGGCACCATGTTCTATGATCCTCTCTTCTTGGCTGCCCGCCAACGTAAGTACTTGCACTTTGGGCTCTAAGCGCCTTGCTACCTCCCCTCCATTCTGGTAGGGGAGGAAGGCTTGGGGCACTTTTGACCATCTTGTCTCCTAAGAAGCCAGGAGAAGCCCAGTGCCTTGGCCCCTCCTGAGCTGTCAGGTTTTGAGCCAGGGAGAGGGGGGTTTAGGCCACTCCCTGTCCATATCCATGGTTCTGTTTTTGTGGGAAACGGGCTCCTCAGACATACAACTTCAGAACAAAGAAAATCAGGGGCCTCATCCCAGATATCAAAGATCCTGGGTCCTCTGGGTCCTCATCCCATCCTGCCACGTTCCTATGATGGATGCTAGGAAAGGCCAGGCCGTCAGAGAGACTTACCTAGATCTAATCTCCATGGGAAGTAGAAAAAGACCAGATCTCCCGAGTAAACTGGGAGCATGGGGGCCTTGGGGGAGGGGAGAGGCAGTGAGGGGAGCAGGGAAAAATGTAAAGCTCAATAAAAACCATTAAAGAAAAGAAAAGAGCAGGCTGGACTTGGAGAGGCCAGGTCCCATTGAGGGTAGACTACAGGCTGCATCGTCCTCTACTGCTGGACTCACTGTTGGAGAGGCAGAGGCAGCACTGACTTCCCAACCTCTTCCCACAGAAGGTGCCCTGCGAGCTAGTGAGACTGTGTCAGAGGCCAGCCCCAGTTCCACAGCAAGCCAGACCGGTGTCCCCACCCAGGTGGTACAGCAGGTGCAGGGCAGCCAGCAGGTAGGACATGGCCTTCGCTGGGGAGAGGGGAGGCAATCTCCCCATTTTCCCAGCCATGAACATCTGTTTACCTGTCTCATCAGGATATGGCAGTAGCCACCCTCTTGGTAAGCAACCCTAGTTCAGCCCCTTTCTTCTGCCTCCACAGCGGCTGCTGGTCCAGGCCAGTGTGCAGGCCAAGCCAGGCCACGTGTCACCCCTGCAGCTTACCAACATCCAGGTGCCACAGCAGGTAAGGCTTCTGCTCTAGCCTTCCAGGGTAGAGAGCCAGTGCCCTGCTGCCAGCCTGCCTAGCTTTGGGCAGTGCTCTCTACAGACAAGATCAGATACCCTAGGGGCTGATGTCCAAGCAGTCTCAGGAGTATTGTACTTATACTGAGAACTGGGGAGGATTGATAGCAGGGAACCTGTGGGTCCAGCCCCAGCCTCTCATAGTCAAGTCCAAGAAGGCCACAGTCTGGTGCTGGGGCCTTTGACCATTTCTAGTTTGTCAGCTCCTATTTGGATTGTGCTAAAATACTGATGCTGCAGCCCAGCACGGGGGGATATTACATGTGCTCTACCACGAAGCCACACCCCAGCCCAGGACAAATATGTGTTCCTCTCTCTTTCTCTTTCTCTCTCTCTCTCTCTCTTTTTTGTTTTAGGGGGGTGTTTTGAGATAGGGTCTCATGTGACCTGAAACTCTGTATGTTGTGGAGTATGACCTTGAACTCCTGATCTTAGGATTGCAGGCATGCACCCACACTGGGCTCTAAAACACATTCCACATGCCTTCTGAGCCAGGAACCAACTCTGGCTTTGCTGTTTGGTTTCAGGGCTCAACAAGCCCTTCACTGCGTATGAGCTTGGGTGACACCTGCTATAGAGTAGAGCCGTAATTGTGCTGTGTTGGGATGAGGGGCAGTTCCTGAGCGCCTAGAACGTTCCTAGTGCTTAGGTGCTCAGTGAGGTTGCTAGGGACTGGCATGGGGCTCAGAGGTGGCAGTGGTGTCTGTGAGGTCCAGGTTCTATCCCTAGCACAGGAAAACACCAGAAGCTTGGCTGTGGCTGGTAATGCTGGTGACCATGTTCGTTTTTCTCCCGCCTCCAGGCTGTCCCCACACAGCACCTGGTGGTGCAGAGCACAGCACCGGGCACGAAGGGTGGCCAGGTCTCCCTGACGGTGCACAGTGCCCAGCAGGTGCACTCCGCCCCTGAGGTAGGTGGTGCCACATTGACATCTTCCCCTGTTCTAGCCATGCACCCCATATTTGCCTCCTCCACTGGTTTTTGAGACAGATCTCACAATGTCATTCAGGCGGATACAAAACTCCTGGCTCTTTTGTTTGTTTGTTTGTTTTCGTTTTTTTTTTTTTTCTTTTTCTTTTTGGTTTTTTGAGACAGGGTTTCACTGTAGCTTTGGAGCCTGTCCTGGATCTAGCTCTTGTAGACCAGGCTGGCCTTGAACTCACAGAGATCTACCTGCCTCTGCCTCCAAGTGCTAGGATTAGATTAAAGGTTTGTGCCACCACCACCTGGCCTCAAAACTCCTATGTAGAGCAGGCTGACTCCTAACTTTGGATCCTCCTGACTCAGTCCTGAGTGCTGGGTTGCAGGTGTACACCACAATGCCTGGCCTCACATGAAGAACTGAATTCACTTGTAGCTCCTGAGTCCTAGCACCCCTGCTCCATGGACCCTGGGTGGGATTAGCTAGCCTGGCCCTGCAGCTGAGCTAAGGTTGAGAGAACTGTAGTCCAGAAAGAAAAGGAGTCTCCTCTTCCACCTTCAGAGTGGATAGAGTCCTTCATTGGGGCCTTAAAACACACACACCCACCCCAGTAAGAGTTTGGAGGTCCCAGGCTGGAGGCAGAGGCAGGTAGATCTCTGTTAGTTTGGGGCCAATTTGGTCTACACAGTTGTCCTACCAAATAGGACAACCTGACCTATTACATAGTGAGATCCTGTCTTCAAAACAAAAACCTCAAAAAAGAAAAAAGAATACACGGCCAGATGCCAGGCTTAGCTGAGTCTTCCGGCCTTGCAGCCAGTATTTTCTGTGTCTAACAGAGCTAATGGTTCTGCATGTGTGGCCACATACTCACATTCGAGAGGCTGAAGCAGGAGGATTTCAGATGGGATGCTAACAAGTTTGATACCGAGACCCTGTCTCAGAAAAAGCTGATGAAGCCGGGCAATGGTGGCGCACGCCTTTAATCCCAGCACTCGGGAGGCATAGGCAGGCGGATCTCTGTGAGTTCGAGACCAGCCTGGTCTGGTCTACAGAGCTAGTTCCAGGACAGGCTCCAAAGCCACAGAGAAACCCTGTCTCGAAAAACCAAAAAAAAAAAGAAAAAGCCGATGAAATCCGCCATTCATCTGCACCCTCTTATCAGAATTAGTTCATCCTAGCGCTGCATGCCCCAGATCAACACAAGTCCACCCACTTGTGTGGCCCAGGGACATGGGGATCAGAAGTGCCCACTGCACTGCAGCACATGGTGGGGCAGATGTGAAGGTAGAGACCACGTTGTTACTCCTGTACTGGAGGAAAGCTCCCAGCCCCTTCCTTCTCACCTTCTCTGCACCCCTTCTGATTATGGAAGCTGCAAGTGGACTTTGATCCCCGTGGGAGGATTGGAAACCCTGCCGCTCCTCCCTACAGAGGCTTATGCTTACGGCTGCTGTGGGATGTTTCACCCTCTCCAAGGGGTCCTTCTCAGGCAGGTTTGTTAGGGCCTAGGTGCTCCAGATACAACCCAGGCCGGCCCTGACATTGTTTCTGTTTGTTCTATTACAGAGGTCACCAGTGCAGGCCAACAACTCCACCAGCAAGACAGCTGGGGCTTCTGCAGGCACTGTGCAGCAACTACAGGTTCACAGCGTCCAGCAGAGTGTCCCTGTCACCCAAGAGGTGCCTGGCCAGGGCGGGTAGTAGCTAGGGCTAGGGGTTTAGGCCATGTAGCCATCTCTGTCTGTGTTCCTGACCTGTTAGAGCCAAGCAGATGGTCCAGTTCCAGCCTACCATGTGGGCATGTGACAAGAATCTCTGCTCTATCTAGATTCAGTGTCCCTGGCTGTGACACTTGTAAAAGTACCTCAGAGGTCACGTTCTGGCTTTGAAAACTCACACTGGTAGGCCAGGGAGACGGCTCAGTGGGGAAAGGACACTGGCTTCCAAGCCTGACAGCCTGAATTCCATCCTTGAGCCCTGAATGACAACAGGACAGTAAAGAAAGAGAAAAGAAAACTCACCTCAGGATGGCTGGGGGTGTACTGGGTAGAGCACTTACCCATCATGCCAAGGCCCTGGGTTCCATCTTGATTCTGCAAAACCAAAGACCAAGAACACACATTGGCCTCTTTATGCCAGTTTACTGGGGGGGGGGGGGGAGTGTTCGCCAAGGCCAAGTACTTGTTTATTCTTGAGGTGTCAGGATGAGGCCTCAGGTTTTTAATTTTGTTTTTAATGTATGTATGTCTATACCGTGTGTGTACCTAGAAGTGGAGCTAAAGACAGTTGTGAGCTGCCATGTGGGTGCTAGGAATTGAACTTGGGTCCTCGGGAAGAACAGCCAGTTCTCTTAACCATTGAGCCATCTCTCAAGTCTACCATGCTCAGGATGTGCCCAACCTTCCAGAGGAAGCCAAATTCCCCAGTGCCAGCCACAGTGGCCCGAGCAGACCAAGAGGCAAGGGTGGTCTTGTTTGTCCTTGTTAACTGCTTAACTTTTGGGATACTTGGCCTCAAAAAACAGGATGAGACAGATTTTGTGTGCCCTCATAGTTTAAGCTACTTGAGAGGCTGAGGCCAAGAGAGCTCAACTTCAAGGCCATCTGGGCAATGTAGTCAGACCCGGATTCAGAACAAAAATTGAAAAAAAGTGCTGGGGATTTAGCTTAGTGGTAGAGGGCTTGTCTAGCATGCATAAGGCCCCAAGTTCCCCACTACTAGGCTGAAAAATCGGCCAAAGCCACAGAGACTCTTCCCTAGAGGAAACAAACCACCCAACCCAAAGGATTTACAGATCTTCCCTCGGGCTAGAATCACTCTGAACCTCCAGGTAGCCAAGAGTCAGGCAGTAAGGAACCTGGAAGGCCTGTGTTCCTGGACCCCACAGGGAAAGGCTGCCCTCTGCCTGGGAAAATGGCAGCCTTTTCCCTAGAGGACTGATCTGAGGTTCCCAAACACGCATGGGATTTGCTGCCATGGTTGCCATGGTTACCATAGTCCGACTTGCCTTTTTTTTTCCCCAGAGGTCAGTAGTCCAGGCCACTCCACAGACCAAAGCTGGCCCGGTACAGCAGCTGACCGTGCAGGGACTGCAGCCAGTTCACGTTGCTCAAGAGGTGCGTGTCCCATCTCTCTGTGTCGGGGCAATCAGACTGGTGCTGGGCTGTGGTTGGGGGTACAGGCACCAAATCCCGAGGGAGGAATGGAGCCATCTTGGGGCCCGGAAGGGCGGAGACAAATGGGAGATTTGAAGGCCTGCGCAAGTCAGGCTTCCCTCGGGCCCTGGGCTCCATTCTGAATCCCCATCCCGGCACCTGACCGCTCAGGACAAGGGGCTTGTTAAGAGAGGTCTGGATTTGAATCCTGCTTCTTTCTGATACTACTCAGTCCATTCCTCACATCCCTAACAAGACACCAGGTGGGGAATCTTCAGCCGGGTGGCCGTGTGCACACAGCCCGGTGACCCCCCAGTGTCTCTGTTTGTCCTCCAGAGCTCAGGCAGTCAGTTTCCCGCTAGGAAGGCAGAGCAGCGAGAACCCCGGCCCACACCGCCGCCGGAGCCGCCGCCCCGGCCTCCCGGGCCCGGGCCAGCGTGCTGGGGCGAGGCCTCGCAGCTAGGCAGCCCTGAGCAGCCGCCGCCCCATTACGAGCCGGGCGTGGAGCAGTGGGTGGAGCTGGTGGGCGTGCTGCCCCCACACCTGCTCCTGCCGCAGCAGAGGGTAGTCTTCGAGCCACTGCCGGGGCTCTCGGCCCGAGCCAGCCCCGACCTGAGGGTCAGGATCCACAGAATACCCCAGGTGCTAGTGTTCGGCACCGCCCTCAAAGTAGGTGGCGGCGAACCGCGGACGCACAGCGGGGGGGTCGGAGGGCGGTCGGGGCGGGGCGTCCTGCCCGCCTCTAAGCCAAGTCTAGACCTCAGGCTCCGCCCCTGCAGTTCAAGGAGGGAGGGGTGAGACGTCTGTCCCGCCCTCCAAACTGCTGTCAGTCATTCCAGGTTCTGCCTCAGGAACTGAGTTCCAGGCTGCACCCCTGCAAATCCGGGTTGGGGGTGGAGGCGGGCTATCCAGTACCCGCCCCTAAGGTGGTGTCGGTTATTTCAGATTCAGTCGACGTAAACCGATCCCGCTCCAGGCTCCACCCTGAATATTTTGCTTGGGAAACTTTTAGGTTTCCAGAAGCCCCTCAGGCCCTGTTTTTAATTAAACAAGACACACAGGTGCCTGTGTTTTCCACCTTCCAAACCCATTGTAGAATCCTATCTCGCGTCCCTTCCCTTGCCCATCAGCGTCCGCAACCTCTTTGTTGTTCCCAACCAAAGCAGAGAATCCAGCACCTCCCATTTCTCAGCCACAGCTGAGGCCAAGGCCTGAGCCTTCCCTCTTCAGTTTGCACCTCTGGCCCATACTGTTCAGAGAACCCTGATGCGCACCCTTCCACCTGGGGTTTATTTCGGGGTCAGGGAGACTGGATGTGGCCAGCGCTGACCCACCGCCCCGCTCGCTCTTCCTCCTGCTGCAGGTCCAGCAGCTGCAGCAGGTGCCTGTCCCTCATGTGTACCCCAGCCAGGTGCAGTATGTGGAGGGTGGCGACGCCAGCTACTCAGCCAGCGCCATGTAAGTGGACAGAGTGACGGAGGGAGGGCGCAGATCTGCTTAGGGCGCCAGACCACAGCTCTAGCTCCCAACTGGCGTTCAAGGCTCCGGTGGTAGCCTTACCCACCCCCATGCGAACTTCCCAGGGGGAGCCACCTACCTGGAATATAGGCTACTGGTAGCAGAATGGACACTGGCCAGCTGGGAAGGCTCCTCCACTAATTACAGGCTGTGTGGTTAGATGGCTTTCTGTTTTAGAAGGAAAAGGGAAAAGAGCATACGTGTATGTATACATATGATATATATAAATATTTATACATATATTTTTACAATATAAGTTTTTCTTTTTTGCTAGGGGGTGGCACACACCTTTAATCCCAGCACTCAGGAGCAGAGACAGGCAGATCTTTGTCTTCTGCTCCTGAAGTGCTGGGATTAAAGGCGTTCACCACCACTGCCTGGCTAAATTTATCTATATTAAGCAGGAAAAAGCAGTTCTTCAGTTCTCAGATCTGACCCTTAGTGTCCTACAGAGTGTCCTGTTTCAGCAGCACTGGGGAGACAGACAGGAGGATTTTTTTTTTACATTATTTATGTGCAAGGGGAAGGCATGTGTGTGTCATGGTGCACATGGAGCTCAAAGAACAACCCAAGGAGTCTGTTTTCTCTCCATCCCATGGGTCCCAGGGGTCAAACATAGTTCCTCAAGCTTAGTAACAGACACCCCTACCTCCTGAGTCTTCCTGCTAGTCTCCAGGAAGATCTTGAGTTGAAGGCTAGATAACACAATTAGGTCCTGTCTCCAAAAAGCCAAAATATAAAAGAAACGATCCATTTCTTTTTTCAGAAATACAGCTGACAATTCTGTCTCAAAATTTTCCTTAGGGGCTGGGGAGATGCCCTGCTTATTAAACATGAGACCCTGAGGTCAGATCTCAAACCTACATAAGAGCCTGGCATGGTGGCTGGCATGCATCTGTCACCCCAGAGCCATCTTCCTGGCCCTCGTGTGTGTGTATGGACAGGGTGTATGTGTGCGTGCGTGTGTGTGCATGCACCATGTAGTAAGTGGAGTGCAGAGGCCAACATTGGAGTCTGTTTGCTATGTGTGATTTGGGGCTCAAAACCAGGTCTTCAGGCTTGTTGGGCGGCACCCCTGCCTACTGAGCCATCCACCTGACTCAGGTTTTCATGTCTTAATCACTGACATTTTGAGAGGGCTCCAAGATTGAAACAGAGGTGGCTCTGTCTGTCCCCTCTCCACAGAGCCCTCTACCTGCACTTAGGGTGGTCTTTTGCTGCCATCCAAACCTCTTGTCTCTGCTTGTCCACTGGTGCCTGGTTTAGGAGGACGGCCAGGCGGCCATCTTCATTCTCCTCACCCCACCCTAGCCCTCTAGTTGCAGCCTGCTAAGATGGGCCAGGTGTTATTGATGTCTTCCTGCGGTTGCAGTTGAGCTGCAGCTTGTGTTACAGGGCAGTGTCTCAGTACATGCTCTAGATTGAAGGGCAGCTCCCTGCTAGGAAGAGGTAGGCGGCACAGGCGCTCCTCTGCCTGCCTGCCCACAGTCCTCTGGGTTTCCCTCCCCTGAACCCAGAGCTTACTTGTTGCTGGAGGCAGCATGTGTGTATTGTACTTGACACTCTGGACCCCACCGTATCTCCTCCACTTCCGCAGTAAGGGAAGTGACACTTGTTTCAGACTGCTGCCGCATAGGCCAATGTAAATCACCCACAGAAGGCCCGTGAGATGGCTCAGCAGGCACGTGCCTCCAGACCTTACGACCTGAGTTAAATCTCCTGGACCCATGTGGTGAAAGGAGAGATGCAGCTCCCACAAGTTGTCCTGTGACCTTTACACATATACCATGGTTCATGTGTGCCCCCTCCAAGTAATAAATAAATATAAAGAAATAGTTTTTAGAAAATAAACAAGAAATGGTTGCTCATTCAGTGCTCAGGTCATCCCCATCCCTTATATGTGAAGGTGGCCACACTGGTGCTCTGTGGCTTCTCTGGTCCCCCCTGGAACCCCTACTTCCTGTGCAGGGCTCACTGATCATGGCCTCATGTCTGATTCTTGCAGCCGCTCTAGCACCTACCCCTACCCTGAGACGCCGATCTACACACAGCCAGCAGGCACCAGCTACTATGAGGCTTCAGGCGCACCCCCCCAGGTCAGCACACCAGCCACTTCCCAGACTGTGGCCAGCAGCGGCTCAGTGCCCATGTATGTGTCCGGCAGCCCGATTGTTGCCAGCTCCTCCAGCAGCGACGCTGGGGCCAGCAACAGCAGCGTGGGTGCAGGAGGCAGCGGGGGAGGTGGCAGCAGTGGCAGCAGCAGTGGCGGCGGCGGCAGTGGAGCAGGCACCTACGTCATCCAAGGCGGCTACATGCTAGGCAACGCCAGCCAGTCTTACTCCCACACCACCCGTGCCTCACCAGCCACAGTAAGTGATGCAGCCCTACTTAGAGGAAACGGGAGGTGAGCACTCGGGGGCGGGGCGGGGGGGCCTTGGCTATAATCAGGGTCGTGGTCCAGTGCTCATCTGACCCAGGAGCCCCGATGTCCCATGCAGTGTAGCCTTAGGTGGTGCTCATCAGCTGTGTGACACTCTGGGGACAACTCCCGAAATGTCCTTAATCAGAATTGGTGGTGAGATGTGGGCTCCTAGAGTTACTGTTGGTGGTGCTGAATTCCAGCCCCAGTCAGGCCAGCCAATAGGAACCGTGGGTTGGGTCAGAACACCTGTCGTCGCCGTCTCCCCCCACCCTCCACAGACACATCCCCTACATACCAGGGCACCCTGGTTGCTAGTCTTCACTAGTTTGTTTAGTCTGCTGTTTTAGAAGACTCTGCTATGAACCATTTGATTTCACGGCCCTGTGGGTCCTCAGGTGCTGCTTAAAATGCACGAGTCACTGGGTGAGGTGGGCACGCCTTTAATCCCAGCGCTTGGGAGGCAGAGCAGCCCGATCTCTGTAAGTTTGAGGCCAGCTACAGAGCAAGTTCCAGGACAGCCAGGACTACACAGAGATACCCTATCTTGAAATACCAAACCAACCAAAAAACAAAAACAAAACCCCACACATGCCAGTAGAATGAGCAGGTTCTGAGGAGGCGGAGTTCTTCGAGCCTGGGGCAGACGTCCCTTGCCCTGTGTGCCGTTGGCCCACATGACTAAGGGCACTGAGAAACTGTGTTGTGTGGTTTTTTGGTTTCTTTTTCTTTTTCCAGGTACTTGTTTTGAAAGAATTTAGATTCGCAGGAAGCTATAAAAAGGACACCATGCACTGACTGGGTGGCATAGGCCACGATCCCAGCACTGGGCAGTCAGGAGCAGGCTGGGAACGCGTGGGAAGCCAGCTGGGGACACAGAGCATGGGTTTCTTTCTGTAGACACACAGATTGCCGAGGCGGCTCGGCGGATAAAGGCACTGACTGCCTAAGTTCAGTTCCTGGAACTGATGTGGTAGGAGAGAACCAGCTCCCCTGACCTTCACATGCATTCCGTCCTCACAGAATAAATAAAGGAACATTTAACAAGAACAGTTAACAGAAAGGAGCTAGGAAATGGCCCTGTAATCAAGGGCTTGCTGTGAAAGCGGGAGGTTCTGAGTTTGAGTCCCCAGCACCTCTGCAGGGTTATAACCCAAATGCGAGGATGGCAGAGGCAGGAAGGTGCCTCGTAGCCAGCCAAACTTTAGTGAGAGATGCTTTCTCAAAAACACAAGGTGGGGTGGGGCTGGAGAGATGGTTCAGTGGTTAGGAACACTGGCTGCTCTTCTGGAGGACCTGGGTTCAATTCCCAACACCCACATGACAGTTCTCAATTGTCTGTAACTCTAATTCCAGGGGATCTGACACCCCCCTTCTGGCATATATGGTATACAGATATACATGTAGGCAAAACACTCATACATATAAAATAAAAACAATAGCAGAAACAAAGCAGACAGCAACTGGGGAAGACAGCCGCTGTCAGCCTTTGGCCTGTGCACACATGCTCCTGCCCCACACCTCTTCCTGTGTGTCGCTCATATGAACCCTTAAACGCACACATAAACAAAAAGTTCTAATAAAATGTGCTGAGAAATGCACACTGCACACTTTCCTGGGCTCCCTGCTCAGTCCCACTTCCCTAACAGACAGCATCCAATCTAGAAATCTTAGTTTGCTACCGGGGGTGGTTTCTGTCTACTGTTTTTAAGACAGATCCCCCTTTGTAGCCCAGGATGGCCCTGAATTTGTGATCCTTCTGTCTCAGTTCCCCAATGCTGGGAGTACCACACTTGCTCTATGTGATTGTAAATGTGGAGAGAAACCTGCCACAATCAGGATACATAAATAAAGAAGGGAAGGCTTGCCTGCCTGTGTGAAGAGCTAGGTTCTGTCGGAGCAATATGGGAAGAATGCAGGCTGTTTTACCCTCAGAGATCTCATCGCTTCTTATTTGCCCTCTTCCATCTCCCCAGGAACCATGAATCTCGTATCTGTCTCTATATGTCACTTCTAGATGAACTCCTAGTCTGTGACCTCGGGAGACTGATTTTCATTCCTCTTATATTAACAGCTTTGTCTTAAAGTAGCTGCAGGTGGCGAGTGTATTGGTCAGTGCTGTTCTAGTAACTTTGAAAGACTGTAGTTCCCAGGAATACCGTGACAGGACGTGTGCCTTACAGCCGGCCAGGGTGGCTGTCCAAACCACAGTGAAAGTAGTTTCAGAGTACACAGCCACACAGTCTCAGAGGATGCCAAGGACTGTCAGCACCGCCCTGTCCTCTCGTGTACCCCAGGTCCAGTGGCTCCTGGACAATTATGAGACCGCCGAGGGCGTGAGCCTGCCGCGGAGCACCCTCTACTGCCACTACCTACTGCACTGCCAGGAGCAGAAGCTGGAGCCAGTTAATGCCGCCTCTTTCGGCAAGCTCATCCGCTCGGTATTCATGGGTCTGCGCACGCGCCGCCTGGGCACCAGGTTTGCCCCACCCCCACCCTCAGCTGCCCTGGGCCCCAAGGGCATATACTTTCTGCCCATATGACCCACCTCAACCCCAAGTGGTCTCGAACCACAGGGCCAGAACCCCTTGCTCACTCACGCCGCCCTACTTCTTGTGCCTGCCTCTGGCATGTTGCTCCTGCGGCATCTTCCTGTTCCTGTACTTCCTCCATCTCCTTACTCGGTTACCCCTTGGCCTGCTCATCTCTCTTCCAGTTAGTAGCTCAGGCATCATTACATGCATTCATCCATTCGTTCATACTGTCCTTGGTGATGTACTTGATCTTTGTCTCAGCTTTCTCATGTCTGTCCAAGCTTTCAGGAACACCCTCCGAAGGGTCGGGGTAAACTGAGGTTACATGCTCAGTTATAAGTGCCTCACATGCCCTTACGACCAACAGCCATGTGCTTGCTTGGTGTCAGAGTTGGCAGTAAGCGGTGACTCCTACTGCCCTGTCCTCAGTCTTGGTACCTGATGTCCTTCCTTCTTCAGCTCATCAGGGTACCTTTTTCTGCCCAGGCCCCTAAGTGAGAGGAAAGCTCTGTGAGAACCCCAGTATCTTGCCCAGCTGGTAAAGCACCTCACCTCTTCTTCCCAGGGGCAACTCCAAGTATCATTATTATGGCTTGCGGATCAAAGCCAGCTCGCCCCTGCTGCGGCTGATGGAGGACCAGCAACACATGGCCATGCGAGGCCAGCCCTTCTCCCAGAAACAGAGGTAGGAGCCTCCTGCTCTGGAACTGAGCAGGAGCTGCCAAGGCGGCTATACCGTACCACTTGACCATGCCCTAGGCGATTCTCATCAGCCTGCCCATCCCCCCACCAGGTGACTTATCCCTTCCAGGTGACCCATCACTTACTACCAACCACCCTCCATCAGTCCTCACCTGCTCCCCATCCCCACCCAGCCCATTCCCTCAAGAACCTCATCCCCACACAGCTGGGCTTACCCCCCCAACCAGGTGGCTTAACCCCCTCATCCCAGCTGGCCCATCACCCCACCAGCCACCCCACTACCCCTTCCCCTCCAGGCTCAAGCCCATCCAGAAGATGGAGGGCGTGGCCAACGGTGTTGCCGTGGGGCAGCAGAGCACAGGGCTGTCAGACATCAGCGCCCAGGTGCAGCAGTACCAGCAGTTCCTGGGTGAGAGCCGATGGGCAGGGCAGTGCAGCCTGCCCCGGGGACTCAGGAGGGCCCACAGGGGGAGTCTGTCTTTGTGGGATTGTTCTATCCCCAGAAACCTTCTCTAAGATCTCCCAACCCCATTTTGTGGGTGGGCGTTTAGACAGGGTTTCACTGTATAGTCCTGGCTAGTCTGAAATTCACGATGTAGACCAGGTTGGCCTCCAGCTCACAGAGATCCACTTGCCTCTGCTTCCTCAGAGCTGGGATTAAAGGTATGCGCCACCGTGCCTAGCCCACCCTGTACTTTGGAGACGAGGTCTCACTGTCTAATCAGGGCTGATCTAGAATTCGTGAGTCTTCTCCTCAGCCTTCACAGTGCTGGGATCCCAGGGTGTGCACCATCCCGTTCCTTTCTGTCATGTTTCTGTTTGTGCACCCAGCGCAGCCTAGTAATGCTGAATCCCACACCAGCAGGTAATGCCTTGGCTGGCCCAACAGTGCTCCCCTAACATGACAGGCGCTCCACCCTTGTTGGTCTTCAGCTCTGTCATGTGACTAGTAGTGACTGGGGGCTCAAGTGTGGACCAGGGTGTGTGTTCCGTTTCTACACGCACGAAAGATGACACGGTGGCTGGGGAGTGAAGGGAGATGTGGAGATGATGCTCAGAGTCAAGGGTGGCCCTGGTGACCCATGCTAACCCTGAACGGTGTCCCTATGGTATTAATAGGGCCTTTAGACACCTGCTTGCTTGGCAGGGAGGCTGCCTGGCACTTGGTGTGTAAGGACCAGTCAGAAGCAACACTCAGCAGGACAAGCACATCATATGCTTTGTGGAGGAGGCCCTGGGGCCTTGGGCCAGTAGCTCACCCTACTTGAGCCTCATCATCCACTGCATACATGGGGATGACACATTGGGAGGAAGACAGGTGACTAGGACCCCAAGGCAGCAGGAGAGGTTGGCAGGTGGACATGGCCTCATGTTGCCCCTACCCCTAGATGCCTCCAGGAGTCTCCCTGATTTTGTTGAGCTGGATCTTCAGGGCAAAGTGCTGCCTGAGGGCGTCGGCCCCGGGGATGTCAAGGCCTTCCAGGTCCTGTACCGGGAACACTGTGAGGTAGGGCAGTCAGATGGTGAGTGGGTGGTTGGGTGGGTGCACTACCCTTGAATGCAGCTGGTTTCTTGACAGGAAGCCCCATGCTGGCCCAGCCCCATTCCCCATTGTGAAGTCCTATCCCTGCAGGCCATTGTGGATGTCATGGTAAATCTCCAGTTCACGCTGGTGGAAACACTGTGGAAGACCTTCTGGAGATATAACCTTAGCCAGCCTAACGAGGCACCACCGCTGGCCGTGTGAGTCCCCAGGGCTTGGAAGGGGGTGACCCCCACATGTAGGGGTTACATATGCCCTTGACTGGACTTTGGGTGGGCTCCTACAGGCATGACGAGGCAGAGAAGCGGCTGCCCAGAGCCAGTCTGGTGCTCCTCTCCAAGTTCCAGCCCGTGCTGCAGTGGACCAAGCGCTGTGACAACGTGCTGTACCAGGGCCTGGTGGAGATCCTCATCCCTGACGTTCTGCGGCCCATCCCCAGTGAGTGCCAGTGGCTGTACCTCTTCCCAGAAGGCGCCCCTGTCCACCCTGACCAGCACCCCCATCCTCCACAGGTGCCTTGACCCAAGCAATCCGGAACTTTGCCAAGAGCCTGGAGAGCTGGCTCACCCATGCCATGGTGAACATCCCTGAGGAGATGCTGCGGGTGAAGGTGAGGGCTGGACTGGGCATTGTCCTGTACTGCACACCTTCTGGACCCATTGCTGAGAGGCTCCCAGGGTTTCAGCACTTAAAACATTATTGATTGATTGATTGACTGACTGACTGATTGGCTGAGGCAGAGTCTTATTTACTATGTGGCCCTGGCTGGTCTAGAACTCAGTGCTGGGATTAAAGGTGTGCCCCACCAAGCCCAGCAAGACTGAACTCTGAAACAGCATAGCAGCATAGTAAATGGTGGCCACACCTGTAGCTCCCGCGCAAGGCCAGAGACCCTGTCTCAAAACAGTAAAACCATATGAACGAGCTGGGCGGTGGTGGGCACGCCTTTAATCCTAGCACTTGAGAGGCAGAGGCAGGCAGATCTCTGTGAGTTTGAGGCCAGCCTGGTCTACAGAGCAAGTTCCAAGACAGGCTCCTGTCTTGAAAAAACAAACAAACAAACAAAACAAAAAAACCAATAAAGCAGGAAAAAAAAACCCCAACAACAAATGGAAGCTCTGTTCTTGACTGAAGGAAGTAACTTAGCTGTTCAGAGAGAGATTTTTTTGTTTTCTTTATGTATAAGGAGATAGCACCTCATTGATGCTGTACATCCACCAAGATGTGCTTGCTCTGGTGTCTGGTGCTGGAGATGGAAGCCAGGGCCTCATGCACATAGGGAGGTAAGCACTCTACCACTGAGCTGCACCTCCAGCCCGGAGCTGGGTGTCTGTGTCACCCTCACCTAGACAGAAAGACAGGGAGAGCTGGCGAGCGTAGCAGGTACAGAAGGAAGGCCTTCAGATTGGTGAGCCACACAGTCGTCAGTCCATGTGGTGTGCGTTCTTTAAGGGCTGATGGCAAAGTGGGGTTCATGGTGATGGGCATCCTCATGGAGCAGGGATCCAAGGCTGCTCTGATTGAAGCAGTAATTTACCCTTGCATATAGAGCTTAGTGGGACAGCATTTGCCTTGTTTGTACAGGGCCTTGGGTTCCAGCCTCAGCACCAGAGAGGCAGGGCTTTGTGTTATGCCACTGAAAGTGGCATGAGGTGACATGAAGAGGCATAGCTGTAATCCCAGCATAGAGGATAAGACAGAAGGATCACCAAGGATCTGAACCTGCCTCAGAGGGGGAAAACCAAAAACACCCCAGTTACTTTGTGCTTGGCAGTGAATCTCAGTGCTGGAATACAGACTTCGTATGAACATGGATCCACCACACACACACACAGTAAAAAATGCCAGGGCCAGGGAGATGGCTCTGAGCGTAAAGGTGTTTGCCTTCCCTGCCTGACAACCTGAACTTGACCCCAGCCCTCATGGTGGACGAAGAGGGTCGACAACCTCAAGTTGCCCTCTGACTTTCGTACGTGGGCCATCACACAAACACAAAATAAATAAACAGAAAAATGGTGGTGGTGGCACACGCCTTTAATTCCAACTCTCAGGAGGCAGAGGCAGGCAAATCACTGAGTTCAAAGCCAACCTGGTCCAGAATGGCCAGGGCTACGCAGAGAAGCCCTGTCTCGAAAAACCAAAAAATAAATAGAAAAATAATAGTCCCAGTGGGCACAGCGTGTTTGACCCACACTAGTACTGGAAGTCCACCCTTGGTCTCCAAACAGAAGCGGTAATGCAACCCTTCTGGCTTTAAGAAAGGGTTTGGGTAGCAACAGGTGAGTCCGGGCCAGGCAAGGTTTGTGTGGAAGCCACTAGTCTACTGTCCCCCGTGCAGGTGGCAGCAGCCGGCGCCTTTGCACAGACGCTGCGGCGCTACACGTCACTCAACCACTTGGCACAGGCAGCGCGGGCCGTGTTGCAGAATACAGCGCAGATCAACCAAATGCTGAGCGACCTCAACCGTGTGGACTTCGCAAATGTGCAGGTGAGCGAGTACCAATGGGGCTGGGATGGGGCAGAGTAGAGGGGCACCGGGCGAGAAAGCTGAGCAGCTGCTGCTATGCTCCAGGAGCAGGCCTCGTGGGTGTGCCGCTGCGAGGACCGTGTGGTGCAGCGTCTGGAGCAGGACTTCAAAGTGACGCTGCAGCAGCAGAACTCACTGGAGCAATGGGCAGCCTGGCTGGACGGCGTCGTGAGCCAGGTGCTCAAGCCCTACCAGGGCAGTTCAGGCTTCCCCAAGGCGGCCAAGCTCTTCCTCCTCAAGTGGTCCTTCTACAGGTGCGTGCCTGTCCTGCGGGCTTCTGGCCGGGGGCGGGGTGGGAATAGGGGTGGGAATCCCAGTATGTGTGTGAGAAAGCCTTCCTATAACGATGTGCTTGTGAAGAGTTGTGAACGGGTTAGGGAAAGCCCTGTAGCTCATAAAAGACATTGGGAAAACAGCCCTGCAGGCCTGACAGTCTCTTGGTCACTTCCCCCAGCTCCATGGTAATCCGGGACCTGACCCTGCGTAGCGCTGCCAGTTTCGGCTCCTTCCATCTTATCCGGCTACTCTATGATGAGTACATGTACTATCTGATCGAGCACCGTGTGGCCCAGGCCAAGGGCGAGACCCCAATCGCGGTCATGGGAGAGGTGCGCCCGATGAGGTACTGGGTGCATGGGTAGGCTCCAGGCAGTGGAATCCTAACCTTTTTCTTTTTCTTCCAGTTTGCAAACCTGACCTCCTCGCTGAATCCCTTGGATCCTGACAAAGGTAATAATGCATGTCCCCACCTAGGACCTGGGATCCAGGGGTGGGGACGCTGACAGGGAGGCCAGGTGTCCCTAGAATTTCACAAGTCTTTCACTGAGCTGGGCTTGCTCCCTGTCCTCCAGACGAGGAGGAAGAGGAGGAAGAGGAAAGTGAAGATGAACTGCCACAAGACATCTCGCTGGCAGCGGGCAGCGAGTCCCCCGCGCTGGGCCCAGAAGCCCTAGAGCCACCTGCGAAGCTGGCACGGACTGACACACGTGGCCTCTTCGTGCAGGCCCTGCCCTCCAGCTAAGCCCGAGACATCCCTGCCCCATCCACCCACCCACCCGCAGCTACCGTCCCTCCAAGGGTCAGGGTCAGTCCCTCCGAGCCAGGGTCCGGTCCCTCAGCTTTTGTGGCTTCACTGTCACCCTTCCAGCCCACACCAGAGCTGGAGAGGGTCCCTGTGACAGGGAAGGCCAGGGGAGCCTCCCCTCACATGGAGCCGATACAATCATGGGCTGGGCTGGGCAGAACTGAAGCTGCAAACCCTGACACAAAGACGTGCCTTAAGGAACCTGCCCAGGTGCCCTCTCTCCTGCCCCAGCTCGTAGCCCTGTTCCCCTACACCACCCCAGAGGGCAGCAGGCTGACTCCTCCCCTGCGAACTGTTAACTTATTCTGCTCTCTGGCTTTGCACAGCCTGCCCAGGCAGACCTGAGCCTGGTCAGGCGCAGGTGGGTGGCACTCGGGGACCCCCCACTGTCAGCAGCAGCAGTCCCACTGCTCCCCTTTCTTGGTATAAGTGCAATTAAAGCTGTGGGTGTCGCACCTTCTCCAGAGCTGGGTTCTCCTGGCCCCGCAGCCCAGAGAGGGGCATATTGTGAAGGGCCCCGGCCTCCAGCTTCCAAAGAGGAGCATCCTGTTGGCTGCAGGGCCAGGTGCTCCAGACCAGAGGCCGCACCCTGCGCCTTCCACCCTACCGGCTTGTGACCGAAACCTGCTCCCAGAGATGCTTCTCCTCTGTGCCGTGCCCCTGACCCCTGTAACTATTGTGATTAGTGAGTGCCGCTTGAGCGGAGTCAGTAACTTGTTGGGTTTTTTTCCAACCATCATGGCCTTATCCGTTCCCGTTTTCTCAGTGTCTTCAATCTGTGATAGATGTTTATGGAAAAAAAAGAAATCCGGCCTATTGTATAGAAATCACTATTTTGTGTGCTCCGCGTGCTACAGCTTTTGGGTGGTCCTGCACACGCCCCATGGGGCCTCCCTTCCCAGTGGTGAAAGTATCCACGCGCGTGGTAGTTTAGTGTGCTGTTTTCTACCTTTTTGTAGTCTTTCTTAAAACAATAAATACTGCTGTGATCTTTGTCTACTGATGACTATCAAGGTGGGGTGTGTGTGTGTTGAGGACAGAAAGAGGACACCAGCCAGGCTCAGAAATAAAGCATTTATTTAGTACATGAAGAACAAGGCCAAGTGGCCACAGGGTTCCCACCCCAGGTAAGGGAGGGAGGCTGGAACCACTGGGCCTCCCTAAGGGGCTACACCTGCAGCCAAGGAAAGGGGCCAGAGCACAGGAAGCTGGACCGGGCTTTGCTGGGGCAGGCCAGGCCTAAGAGGCCCCTCCCTCTGCCCTTTCCCAACTTAAATAGGCATAAATAAAGACACATCCAGACTCTCGGGGCCACCAAAGGCTGCTGTACCAGTCCCATCCCGCAACCTAACACTAGTGCCAATTGTGGCCCCTTTAGGGCCAGCCCAGGAAGGCAGTCCTCTCCCGGGCCCGCGGAGGTAGTTGGAGTCAGGGTCCAGGGCAGTCAGCCCTCACAGCACAATCCACGTGTACCGCTCACTGTCTGCCAGAACCTTCAGTGAGCACCCTGCAGAGGAGGACACACAGAACCATGATCCACTTGTCCAGCCCTGCAGAAAACCTCCATGGCCTAACTGGACCCAGAAAGTCCCAAAACAGGCTCCCTTTTCCAGCTATGGTTATACCCTGAGTAAGCCCCCAGCTGGATGGCACTCTGTCTATGACACCCCTGGCACGTCCAGCATGCCCTCAAATCCAGGGAAAGACAAGAGTAGTGCCCAATCCCTACCTTTATGCAGCGCCTCGTTCGTCATCCTGTTCACATAGCGGCCGCTGCTCTCCGGCACCAGCCATTTCATGACCATGTCCACACAGCTCTTTCGGTAGGAGCTCCAGACACTGCCACTGGGAGCCAGGGAAATGAGTGAAAAGGAGCCTTTCTTTCTTTTTTTTTTTTCGAGACAGGGTTTCTCTGTGGTTTTGGAGCCTGTCCTGGAACTAGCTCTTGTAGACCAGGTTGGTCTCGAACTCACAGAGATCCGTCTGCTTCTGCCTCCCGAGTGCTGGGATTAAAGGCATGCGCCACCACCGCCCGGCTGAAGAGGATCCTTTCCTGCCAACCAGCCAAGCCTCCCTGGCAACCCACTCTTGTCCTGCCTCACCTGGTCTGCCCTTTGACCTCGGTTAGGTCACCCACGCTGACTGTCTCAAAGATGCCCGTGCTGAGGTCCCAGGCCACCTTTAGGCTGGTGTGATAGGTCTTTGGTCTGTGGTGGTGGAGGACAAGAGGATGGGCCAGTGACGTCCTGCACTGGCTTGCCAATGCACCAGTGCCAGGATGGGCATCCAGGTCTTGTCTGCTCACCCTTTACCCCTGTCCTGAGGGTCTGTGTATGACCACCATGTGAGAGTTAGCCAAGGGCCCTGCCACTTACCGGAGCTGGCCCTCCTCAGTGGGGGCTGGGAAGGCTAGGAGCAGCAGGCCAATGTTGATCAGGACCTGGTTGGTTTCTGGGCAGACCTGGGAGCAGGCAGTGACAGTTATAGATGAGATCAGACAGTGGGAACACCCCAGCCTCCTGCTGTGCCCTAGTCTCACCTCCAGGATGACTATATCATAGTCACTGAAAGAGCAGAACTGGTGACCCCAGGTGGCATCGTGGCGGATGACCTCGTTGATGACATACTCAAAGTCCAATGTGAGCTGCTCCACTGTCAGGTACTGGCCCTGGTGACAGACGTCAGAGAGCCAGGGGTAGGTAGTGCCAACCACCCCACAGATACCGGGTCACCTATGGCCTACACCATGGCTACCCACCTGCATGTCTGTCCGCTCTCGCATGGGCCGTAAATTGCGGCCACGGAGGTCAGTCACCACAAAGGGCAGGGAGATCTTGTCATCCTCAAACTCTGGGGAGGCAGGAAGAGGGTAGGAGCAGGCCAAGGGTCCTCCTGGGACTGCCCCATCCCAGAGCCTGTCCCAGGAAACCCCCTCACCATCCTCAGGTTCTGTCCCTTCCCCAGACCGCAACACATAGTGCAACTTGGTGTAGTTGATGTAGCCAGGCTCGGGGGCAGACGCCTCTGAAGCAGGAGGACTGTCCCTGGGTACCACTTCCCCACTTGGGGCTGGTGGCTCTGAGGATGGGCGGCAGCGGCTACTTGAGGGCCCCAGGCCTGAGGGCAGCCGAGCTTCCTCCAAGGTACCACCCTTGGCCTCTTTGGCCCTGCGGAAGATGTCAGCCACAAACTCCTTGGCCTTGGCAATAGCTGGTGAGGGCTCAGGAGCTCCAGAGGGCCGAGCTGGGACCACCTCAAGGCCAGGGCTGGGGAAGGCAGGGGCTGCCTCAGGGCTCCAAGGTCCTGGGGAGCTGGGTGGAGCTGGGGGCAAAGCTGTGTGGTCGTACAGGATTTGGCAGAAACTGCTGTCATCTGCAAGAAGCAAAGCGTGAAGGAATGTGTCATCACAGTTCAAGGTTACTCTGGCCTACCTCAAACCTGGGTTATTAGAAACCCCCCTGAAAGAGCCCCCTGGAACCTTTCCTGTCCTGAAATCAGTGTTAAACTCTGGAGTTCAGAAACCACACATACTCTGAACACAAAGACATGCATGAATTCAAGACGTTTAAAGAATATGCTGGGCTAGAACCCAGAGCCTTCACTCCCCCGCTGAGCCACCTGCAGCCTCAAACCTCACCTCTGAACAAGTGTTGTGCTACTCAGAAAGGACACTGCAAATGAGATGCCCTTGGGGTGCAGATCACAGTGAGGACCAGCAAGAGTCACCTAGGTGAATTCTCACTATGCGACCAGATCAGCACAGGCAGACAGGCCACAGGAGTGGGGGTCAGCAGAGGAGTGCCATGCCTCTCCCTCTAAGCAGCACCATGCCCCTCGGAGAGGCTACTACCTAACAGGCCATGGTGGGACACTTTCAGGAAAGAAGGTATTGAAAATGGCTTGGCATACACTTATATGCTGAACACCAGTTAGGGACAAAGCTAATACTGATCTCCAGGCTAAGAGTCTTCAGTCCTGCCTTCAGCCTTGTGTGGGAAGCTCATGGCCAACAGTCAGGTGGCAAAACATTGGTAAGGGTTATGTCTCTCTCCCAGAATGGCAGAGGTGTCCAGGGCAGGGCTGAGTCTGAGGACTGAGTGTCCCATCCTCTGCTGGCCAGGCTGGTCACATGCACTTTCCTCTGCCTTGCCCTTCCCCTGCCCCAGGACAGTCATTTTAATGAGAATGGTCTTGAGTCCTCCCCAGATCAAAACATGTCATCAGTTTATCCCAAAAGCCATACACAGCTATCGATCTCTCTTCTGTGTCTGTGTCCAGCTGTGTTACATGGATGCCATGTCCTTTCTTTGGTGTCCCACTGGACACTGACTGGCCCCGTTCTACCACAAAAAAGGAAGGCATCGCCGGGCGGTGGTGGCTCACGCCTTTAATCCCAGCACTCGGGAGGCAGAGGCAGGCGGATCTCTGTGAGTTCGAGGCCAGCCTGGTCTACAGAGCTAGTTCCAGGACAGGCTCCAAAGCCACAGAGAAACCCTGTCTCGAAAAAACCAAAAAAAAAAAAAAAAAAAAAAAGGAAGGCATCAGGAGGCCCCTGGCTCCCTGATATGGACCTGAACACACACCTGGAGAATTCAGCCTTTCTCAGGGGAGTCAGCAGGGCAGAACTGTGGGCTCAGACTCACGGACCCTCACTCTATTCCTGCCAGACAGTGACATCATACCACTGCCTATTATGCCACTCTGTCAAGACATGGAGAAATGGCTTAGCAGGTCAAGGTACCTACCACTAGGTATGCGGACCTGGGTTCAAATTCCTGAACCCACATGGCAGAAGAGAATCAACTCTTGAAAGTTATCCTGATGTACATGACATATGCATGTGTACACACTCATGCACAGAGACACACAAAAATTTTTTAAGTAAGAGAAAGTTAAAATGCACTAGGCATGGTGGCACACGCTTTTAATCATAGCACTCAGGAGGCAGAGGCAGGCAGAACTCTGTGAGTTCGAGGCCTGGTTTACAAAGCTAGTTCCAGGATAGTCAGGGCCGTTATATAGAGAAACTCTGACTCAAAAAACAAAAAAAAGTAAATAAATAAAATGCAACTTAAAAATTAAAAAAGAAATAGAGAACATACCACAAGACCCAGGTGTGGTAATACACACCTTTAATTCTAGCACTCAGTAGGCAGAGGCAGGGATCTTTGTGAGTCTGAGGCCAGCCTGGTCTATATGGTGAGTTCCTTCCAGGACAGCCTGGGCTACACAGACATTGTCTAACAAGAGGCACCACGCCATTTGTTACTGGCATTCCCTGACACCAAGGCTGCAGGGAAGGCACCACTGGCTATGGAGGCCTCGGAGCACTACCTGATGTCAGACCACCAACACTGTATGAACATGGTCTCTCACTCTCACCAACACTGTATGAACATGGTCTCTCACTCTCACCAACACTGTATGAACATGGTCTCTCACTCTCACCAACACTGTATGAACATGGTCTCTCACTCAAACTGCCCAAGGGAGCACTGCTTAGGACATCTCCCTGTCCTCAGAGCACAGCAGCTGAAGCGCACTCCATCATGCCGGGAAGGAACACAGCGCTGCATGTATGTGCTCAAGGTCTCCAAGCGGAGCTGCCACAGCAGTGCATCCTAACAGCAGCAGGCTACCTGCCCAGAGCAAAACTTCTAGCCCCACTACTGCTGAAGCAGCTCCTGGGCTCACAGACTACACTCAGGCAGTCACTGAACATGTCAGCCCCTTGGAAAGTTCTAGTGCACAGTACTGAGGTGATGGCACCAGCTTCCCCACCTCCCAGCTCTGGAGCCCTCTCAGCCAGGTCTCCTGGTCCACCCTGTGAATAGAAATGGGCCTACCTGCTGAGTGGACAGAGACAGCGCAGGCCACCAGCGAGTAGCTGGTGTTGAGCAGCACCACCTGATCCTTCTTGAGTTGGAAGGCGGGTTGGAAGGTGGGAAAAGGGTACACCACCTGGTACTTGGTGTGCAGCATGAAGCCATGCC